ATTATTATTATTATTATTATTATTATTACTATTTTTATGAATATTATCGCAAATACCATAATTATTCATTTGTTTATTACTTAAGTCAGCTTTTCGTTTCAATCAATTCAAGTCAAGTCAATTCCTTGTTCTTCTATAATTTAGATGTAAATGTAGCAGTCAATCAAGCAGCAATTTCAGACGGCACCTCCCCATCTGGTTCGTCACCTGCACGCGGTGAGAACGGCCCAGCAACGGCCACTACAAGCGGCAGCAGCATGGCCAACCCGAACTCCTCTCAGAACACCCAGTCGGTCTCTCCTCCGGCTGCCTCCTCTAGCAGCACAATGCTGGGCGCTTCTCTCGGCTTCGGCGCCCTGTCGCCGGCGTCGGGCACTCTCGTCGCCGCCGCCGCCGCCTCATCATCCTCAGTGCTGTCCCCGTCCACCTCAATCGCGGCCACCTCCCCCCAATCCAGCACTCTGCAACAAAAACAATCCACCACCACATCCTCGTCTCAATCGCATCAATCCAGCAAAACCTCCCCAGTACCCACAGGCGGCCAACCGCCTCTATCAACCTCGCAACAAACCCAAGCTCAAGCCCAGGCTCAGGCTCAGGCTCAGGCTCACGTCCAAGCCCATCTAGCGGCCCAACAACCTCAGTCCTCTTATAGCACCCAACTCCACCAACAACAACAAGCACAAATCCCCAGTCCTTCAGCTCCAGTCACCTCGTCTCTCTCGGTGATTCGACCGCAACTCTCCCTCTCCACACAACACCCCACATCATCAGATGCTTGTGCCACCATTACCCAGTACTTGATGTTATATCATACGGTAGGCACATTCTATTATTATTCCTTACAGCTGCCATAATAATAATAATAATAATACTTTAAATAATAATAATTAAATGGAACAGGGCCGAGATGAAGAGTTCAGTCGTAAAGCCATTGAAAGTCTCATCAAGAAACTCAAGGATAAACGCGATGAATTGGATGCACTCATCACTGCAGTCACCACCCACGGCAAAGTCGCTTCTAAATGTATCACAATACAACGCACTTTGGATGGTCGTTTGCAGGTACCTAGCTTTTATTATCATTAATATTATTATTATTATATTTATTATTATTATCACAATAAGAATAAAGTTAATGTTTCTTACAGGTTGCTGGTCGTAAAGGCTTTCCACACGTTGTTTACGCTCGTATATGGCGATGGCCTGACTTACATAAAAATGAGCTCAAGCATTTACCGATTTGTCAATGCGCATTCGATCTTAAATGTGATCTGGTAGGAGGATTTTATTCATCCATCCATATATATATAACGTTATCCTCATTAAAATCTGTGTGCCGGATCAAACATATCCATCTGAACAATCTGTTTTTCAATCGACAACTACAACAACAACAACAATCCAAACCCTCGGTTAAGTACCCATCGAACCGATACAAACAGCAGCAGAAGCAGTTCAATTCAATTGAATTCAGTTCGCATCTGCATCGTTTCAGGTTTGTGTGAATCCGTATCATTACGAGCGAGTGGTACCGCCTGGAATCGGCTCACTGGATCTATCGAATCTTAAACTCGAGCATCGTCAAGCGTCCGTTGATGATGCAGCTACGTTATCACCCAAAAGTCTTTCAGATGAACAACATTTACCCAAGTAAGAAATCACTCTAATAGCCACTTAATGCAAACCTAAATCCCATTCATTTCATTTCATGTCATTGTTCATGTCAGCCTAGCACTACTGCCTTCAATAACTTCACTAATCCACCCCCCCCCCGTATTTATCTCTAATTTTAAGAGCATGAGCATCGATTTGCTTGAATCGCGAACGCAAATCCATCTCTCAATATTATGCCTAATTTCAGAGCACACCTGTAATTAATTTCAGGCTGAATACGATCGGTAGTGCCGCCTCAAGCGGCGGCGTATCACGACAATGTGTTGTCAGTGAACAATCTGATAAATTGACCGCAAAAAACTTGACTTATGCAAGTGCCACGCACACATCACCTAACGTTAGTAAACTCGGTTAGTTTACTGCTTTCAATTAATTAAACTGCTACTTTAAATGAACTTACTTGTTGAATTAATTAATTAATTAATTGAATAGTTGAATTAATTAATTGAACTATTAATCTTACTTGTTCCCAATAAGCCATCTAGCCATCCATCTCATCTCATAATTCAACTCAAAATCAACTAAATCAAGTAAATCAATCAGCTCTGTGATCGATTTACCGCGCTCAATCAGAATATCGCGACAAATAGTCTCTCTAGCAAACGCAAATTTCATCAAGTGGCTGTTATACTTCATTCACCTGAACCACCACCACCACCAGCATCACAAGCCTCATAAATCCATCCTCCATTCTTCTATTATATCCATCCATCTATCACCTGAACAATTTTGCAGATGATAAAAATCTCGTTGTTGGATCATCCGCATCTGCCTCTTCATCGCAGTCATGCTCTACTGCGTTGGCATCCGCCTCAGCGTTGAATGCGGCTCAACTAGCTGCTGCCGCTTCTCTCGGCTCCTCTATGAATGATCTGGTCGGGTGTGACTCTACTGCTGCTGCAGTTAGCAGTGGACTATTCGGCTCTACTCAAGCCGCACTCCTTCTTGCCAAACAACAGCAACAACAACAACAACAAACCCAGCAACTGATCTCCTCCTCAATGTGGTCATCTCCCAGCAGCAATAAACTTATCGATGATCACTCCTCTCTGATCGCCAATCACCACCATCTCATCAATAATTCCAATAATTCTACATCCTCTTCAGTCACCTCCCAACAACAACAACAACAAACATGTAATTTATTCTCAATTCATCGATCATTCTCTCAAGCTCAACGGGCCATCCATACTGGAGAGAGAGCCTTTCATAAGCCTTCACGGATGGATACGGTTAAGCCCTTCTGAGGTGGTGCTCACCTTTTAAAAGTCCATCCAATCGCCCAGTTCTTTTCAAAGAACACAAAAATGTGAATTAAAGTTACAAATTAAACATTGCCCACACAAACAACCCAGATAGATGGGTAGATAGATAGATTGTCCAAAATATTCATTGTCAGATGAATATTGCATTACACTCAATTCCAGTAACAGCATACCATTTTATATAAATATCACTTTCATTAAGATTCTAATAATATATGACACGCAATGAACAATCCTTCTCTTGTTCCTCCACTCTTAGCGCAGCTATGAGATATCCTCTCCTGTTCACCTTTTTTAAGTTTAACCTTAATCTCAAGTCAAATGCTAATCTCTCTCAATCTCAGACCAAATCAAATTTATACCTACCCACCCACACTAATTCCTGGCAAAGTAGCAACTTTACCTACTCGATTTTAAATGACTCTGTGCTCATGTCAGTCACATTCATTCATTGGAATGTTTCTGCAAAAAGAGACCAACCAAGCCACGAGACCCCAAACCCAAATAAATGCAACCGAATCAAATCATTCATTTCAGCAGCCCTATCATCGCTCGCTAACAGCTTGGTGTTTCAAGCAGCTGCTGCTGCCGTGGCTACAGTGCAACAAGCCGGCGGACAGGTGCAATCGGCACCTGCAAGCACCACCTCAGGAGTCGCCACCGCCGCCCCTTCTATGTACCCACTGAACACGAACGGCACCTCGCCCACTACCACTACAACTGGCCTGTCTTCTGGCGCATCTTCAAGCAATCCACAGCAACTGATCACACCCTCTAGCAATAACAACCTCCTCTATAATCTCACCGCCAACAATAATAATAATTCTCGTTCGTTCATCTTATATTTCTTTAGTGCGCTTACTTACTTACTTACGGAGACTAACTTTTGTTTTGAGTAAAAGACCGCATTTTCGGGCTTCCAATTCTCTGCGTTGATTTAATCTACTTGCTTCATTCCTTTATCATATCACCAATCCTCCACAAGAACAGGCAACAATACAATACGAACACCTCTTTTAATATAACATCAACAATTTATCTTTATCATATCAAGTAACATCCCATTCAGTTGTTTCCATGCATTGTTATTGCTTTATCCATCCATTATTATCCTTTATCCATCCATTATT